TCAGACCTCACAGCATCTTCCAGCCAATTCAGTTCAGGAGTGAGGTAGCAATTCGTGGGCCTCCATGATTATCGATGGATGAGGAGACGTGAGGACAGCAAATACAACTGGAGGAGGTTGTATCTGTGGCTGCAGGTGCCAATGTCCTTGAAGGGGTTTCCCATCGTGCGGTACCACAGCGGGCTCCGTGGCAATGGTTGCTGTGTTCACAGGAAGCGTGTGAGTCTGCTTCTCACTGTTGTGTGCTGTGCCTCGTGTGTGCTCATGAACCTTTCATGAGGGAACGAATCAGCCTGAGGCACAGCACCTGTGCTCGGCCCATCCTCCTACAGGTGTGACGCAGACAAGCGACAGAGGGTGCCGCTCTGGAGGTCTCAGGATAGGGAGAGGAGGTGGTGGGTTCCTAGGGCCCCATAGAGGGGGTTGAGGCCCAGATCCCCAGGGGGAGTCCTTTGTGCTGCAGAATGTGGTCACAGGTGAAACAGCGGGAAGTAGAAGGGGCACTGGAACATTCTGAACAGGACACAAAGGAGGAGGCCTCACACCTCCCCTAACAGCCCTGGTAATAAAAATACTCTCTTAATAATTCATGTTCACAAGTATTACGGGACAGTAGGGTAGTTTTCAGTAAGAACCTTACTGCTGCATGACTACATTCAGGAAGGTACACAAATCATAAACACAGAGTTGGGTGAATTTCTGAAGCAAAGACATCTGTGTGAGTAGCACCTACATCAAGAGACAGAGCAGGAACCAAAGCCCGGTACTCCCCCATTCAGCCCCAGTTCAGCCCAGTCCTTACGCCTCACCACCCCCCAGCACCATAAACACATTTGGCCTGGTTTCAAGTCCAGGAGAATGGATCCTTGACTGTGTGGCCACTTTTGTGAGTTCTCCCTCCCCTTCAGTGTCAGCTATAACATGATGATTTAATTCAGAATACACAGGGAAGGGTTATCACGTGCCCAGCCTCAAAGCAGACACTGTCAGAGATACAGGAAAAGTAAAGGTCACACTCCTGACCAGGGTGGGGGGTGCGGGAGGCGGGGAGATTCCGCGCTACATATATTGTCTATATGGATTTGGAACTTAGATTATTTTGTAAAAACTTGGAATCAACCTACCTGGGTTCCGTGGAACAACACTTTTGTGTTCCAACTCTTTCCGGAGGATAGAATTTTTATCATTTGGATGTGGCAGTGGGATACCAGGTGTGACCACCAAGGATGAGGGCCAACTTTTCACTAAAACCTTGCATGTTAGCTTTGAGGGCCACCATCAGACCTCTCAAGCATTTGAGATGATCCACTTAAGGTCACAACCAGGTAAGTACATGCAGGGGGAAAAACAGGTCCCCAAAACAGAAGCCTTTTGAAAACAGGTCCAAACTCCAGCTGGGTGGTGGGCTTTGGGGTCTTGAGTGGTGGGGAGGCAGGCCTCTGCTTGCTTGAAAGCTCTTTAGAGGAGGAAAGAGACTCAATCTGAATGAACAGGACTGTGTATGGCACCTGGTGTCATCTGAAAGGACAAGAAACCACAGAGGGACATGTGCAGGTAAGCAGAATGGGAAATTCAGGGGAAGGAAGCTAGGCTTCTGCTTGCAAATAAATTCAGAAACAGTGAGGAGGAGGTAATCACCCTCACTCTGCCCTGTCTGGGCCTCTCTCAAGCCACCCGTTCATTGCAGAGCAACCAAGCTTCCTGAGCTGAAGTGGGGACAGAGGTGTCCTGCAAGACCAGGAGTGGGCCATGTAGGAAGATTCTTTGCACCAAACGATGTATGTGAGTGAAGGAACAGGCATTTTCCTGTCCAAGAAGGAAGGATAAAGGACCAGAGTGTGTATTTAAGCAAAAGAATGGAGAGCTGAAGCACAAATGAACGAGACTTCCACTCTCTGCCACCTCACGCTTAGCAGGGGCTCCTGACCTTTTGTGCTTTACCATCCTTTGGCTGTCTAGAGATGCCAAAGGACATGTCCTCAGAATGCTTGAAAAAGTAAAAGAGACATTTGGCTACCAAAGAATATCTACTAAAATCGATCTGTGAGCTAGCTAGTATATACTTCTTTATTAAGGAATTAACTAGCAGGCGGTAGCAGAGACTTTAATAAACACCAAAACTTAGAGAGACAAGCGTTAATGACACAACTGTAGTGTGTTCTGAAATGATCTATGATTCCCTTGGGGACAAAGTCACAGGGATTGGTAGTCTCACTATGGCTTTTTGTTTATATTCCTACTTATAGGAAATGCTAAGTTCACTTGGAGGTAAATAAAAATAAAGATGTGATTCTTTTTTCCTACCTAAGATCATGACTCCAGAAGACCCCTCGGTGGGTTAAGAACCCCTGGGAAAACCTCAAAGTTCTTCCAGAACCACTATGAACCCCAACTTCATCTATCTATTCAGGGTCAGAAATCAGATTCCCAGGACTGGTCTAGGAATCCAAGGGCTTTTTCCAGCAACACAGCCAGTAAAATGAGGAGACCCGGGTAGTGACTCTGTACCCCACAAAACCCCCGTTCTTGGAGAGCCTTCTTGACTCTGGCCTTTCTTGTCTGCATGTGCCACACATAGCCCTTAGCTGCCACCCTGCAGACCGCCTCCTTGACCTTTGGAATCAGTTGTGTGGTTCGTTTCTCTATTTACTTTATCTGGGGCAGTGGCTGAATAAATCTGAGCACAGTAGCAAGCCACTGTGAAATCCCAGGTCACCACATTCACACTTACAGATTCAGCCCAGGTTGCTGGATTCCCAAAGCACCAGGGGAGGGTGTGTGGATGGGCAGGTGTCATGCATCAGTAATCTTCATTGTGCCTCGATACAGCCAGCACTGGGTTGCAAAGACATGGCGTGAGGCCACATCTGAGAAGGTAACTTACAATCACCCTGGGTCTTCTTCACTTACCAACAATTTCTTAGTGGACACTTCACTAGATTCCAGGCACTAAAGAAGCACTGGGAACAAATTTTATGCAAGTAGGTGAATAGGAAAGGTCATGTCCAATTGTAACAGTGCCATCAAATATGGAAGGAGTGATGAGGAAGAGGCTAATGGGGGATATTTATTTCTTGTGTCAATAGGCAAAACCTCCCCAAGAAGGCGACATTTACACAGAAAGAGACCAAAAGTTCTCTTTCTCAAAAAGAAGAAGCCTTTTGTGTGACAAACAAGCCTGGTGTCTTATAAGAGTCATCACCCAACCAGGGAGGCTGAGACTGCAGAAGGGAACACTGGTGTGAGCTTAGCTGGAGAGGTGGGCACCTGCCTGATCCAGCATGTGGGGGAGGGGAGGGGAGGGGAGGAACTCCTAACAAGTTCTCCAAAATTAGACCAGCTCAGCTAGAGTGGAGCTCCAAAAGTTCTCCAACTGTGTGGCCTTGGGCAAGTCCCTTACCCTCTCTGAACTTCTAGTTTTTAAACTGGATCATCATAACTCCTTCTTTGTGTTGTTAAATGCATGAATAAGTGAAGACCCTTAGAACAGTGCCTGGCCTGGTGATGATGCCATGGTTTGCTGTGACTTATTCTAATGAGATGTGGAGGATTTTAAGCAGGAAAGAGACACAGTCTGGTGTGTCTTTAACAGATGACCAGCCATTGTGTGGGCTACTGGTCATCAACAAGACAGTGGTTCTCTCTGGGAAGGGTAGGGGGCAGTGCCTGGAGAGCCACTGCTGAAAAGCAACAGAGTGGTCATCCGTCCCTCAGGTGCCCCTCAGGTGTCCCTCAGGGATCCCTCCAGTGTGCCAGGTGGGAGAGTGGCAGCCAGCCACACCTTCTGGGTAGGAGCTTATCCCACCTCCTCTAGTGGTGAGCCCATGACTCCCACTTCTCCATCATTCCAGGTCGCCAGCCTGCTGCCCAGCAGTCCTCTTTACCAGTGTCAATGTCACTTTCCTTGGATTCTAAGTGCCTCAAGGACAGCAGCCATTTCCTTTCCACTCTCACCATACAATGATGGACAGAACCCCACACCCTGGGACCTGAGAGCTCTTGAATAACTGGCTGAAGGGAGGGTGGATTCAGAACATTGTAACGAATCCAGAAAATCCAGAGTGCCAAGATCTGAAACTCCAGAGGGTCCCAGGAGGTCATTTAAGTCCCGTGTCCCGTACCCGCCCCCCCCCCGCCCGTCCTCCCCTACTCCTCAAACCACTCCAGCAAGACATTTCTGTTCTCCAGGGAGCATCTGCATCCCACCTGGGAAGCATCCCAGTCGCAGCTTAGAGAAGGGACCTTCCAAATCTCCTCCCAGACCCTACCCTCCTCCCACTTCCTGTCCAAAGGGGCTTTGGGGCCACTCATGTGTGCAGGATAAAAGCCTTCCAGTCTCCAGGGACATCTCAGAGCCATCGGGGGAGGCTGTGGCAGCTCCCTCCTCCCCCACGCTGGAGCTGAGGGCTGCTGAGGTGGAGGAGGGTCTTACAGGCTCCTCCCCCATTTTGCTGCCTCTCCAGACCCCAGGCTTCTCAGTCTTACAGCTCCGGGAGAAGGGGGATTGAGGGTCTAGAGGCGCTCACCTCCTCTCAGGTTTTTTTCTCAGCTATGTTGTGTTTACCCTACACCAGCCCCACAATCTCCCACCTCCCTCTGGGAGACCCTACGTCCTGATTCCCGGAATTGAAAAGCTTCTCCCCCAGGATCCCTCACAGTCTCCCCTAACCCGCAGTCCTCCTCCCGGCCCCCCTCCCACATCCCTTCCCAGCACCCTTTCTGCTCACAGCCTCACCTCCTCCTCCCCCAGCCCTGCACACTCCCCTCTGTCCCCCATTCCTACCCAAGCCCCCTCAAGTCCCTCACGCCCAATTCTCCTCCATCATGTCCCTACCTCATTCCCGCAGGCCTTCCCGACCCCTTCAGCATGTCCAGCTGTCCACCTCCCAGCCAAGCTCGATCTCGCAAGGCAGAATCGCAACCGTCCCAGGCCCCGCGCCCCCGCGCCCCCGCCGCAGCCCCGGGGACCCCGCCTGGCTCCCGAGGGCAGCCGCGCTCACCTGTTGGGCGGACCGCAGCACGCCGGGCCTCGCCTTCTCGGGGTCGGGCTCCCGGTCCCGCTGCAGCAGCCCCTTCTTGGGGTGCATGTGGCGGCACAGGCAGGTGACCCCGCACAGCGCGAGGATGCTGGTGGCCGTGCCCAGCGTGGCGCCCAGCGCGATCACAGGCACCGACAGCACCATGGTGCCCGCTCCCCGCGCGGGGCTCCGTCCCGCCGCCGCCGCCAGCTGCCCGCCGCCACCAGTTCTCTGTCCCCGGAGCCAGCAGCTCTCCCGCCGCCAGAGGGGCGGGGAGGAAGGGAGCCAGGAGGGAGGAGGCTGCGAAGACGTCAGAGGAGGGAGGCTAACCCGGAGCCACGTCAACCAGCCATCCTCCCCGCCAACATGTGACCCGACCCCCACCCTATAGGAAAAGCGATCTTTCAGGTGGAAGCAATCCTACGGCTGTCTCTGGCCATTTTTAAGGCTCTACCTGCGTTAAGGGGACAGCTGGGCCCAGGAAGTACTGGAGCTCGCTGAGACTGCAGTGTGTTAGCCAACGAATCAAACCCAGGCCTGCGACTAGGTCTGGGTAGCTTGTCACTTTATCGCACTATTAACCCTCTGTTCGCCCTCTTTCTTTGCCTGGGTCTGGGAAGGAAACTCTAAAATTGGGTGCAAACACAGGGCTGGAGATTTTCCAACTCCCCAGCTGGGTGATGTGTACTACGATGTGCGGGGGCGGAGGGGGGGAGGGCGGGGGGGAGGTGCGTGAAAGAGACACAGGCAGCAGGCTTGACATGCCTGGAGACTGTTCTGTGTCCTGAAGAGGCCATGTGCATCATTTACATCTGCTCTCCCCCCAACACACACTCGTTCGAGTGCACTTGCAGCTCACCTTTATTTCATTATATAGGTGAGGATGACTTATAGGCTTAGAGAAGACTCTGGGCAGGTGGAAGTAAGTCATCCCAAACCCACTCTGTGCTTGTAAATCCAAGTGCCCAGTGCAGAAAAGCTTGTCTTTGGAGAATAGAGAAGATCAAACACAGCAGCTAGGAGGACACACAGAATGGGGAGGATAAAAGTATGATTGTGGGGGAAGGTAGAATTCCTGGCATCAGGAGGTTGTCTTAGATCAGTGAGTTACTGGTGTTTTTCATGATATAGAATGTTGGCTGTGACTTGGCCGTGCTCCAGTCAGGCTGGGTACCAGTGAGAAGGGTGCACCCACAGCTTCCCGTGCTGCTGGTGACTCCCCAGCTGAGATCTCCAGCCAGCTGCAGATGTGATCACTGCTTGATTTCCTACCTCCCCTTCCACCCCTTAGATCAATGTTTTTTCTATATACTATGATTCCTATAGGTTGGTTGGGCTCAGCAGGATGGTTTTTCTGCTCAGTGTGATGTCATCTGGGACTTTAGTCTTATGGGGGTCTGACTGAGCTGGTCCAATGTCTCACTCACATGGCCAGCAGTTGGTATTGCAGTCAACAGCTGGACAGTCAGCAGGTGCACTTTGGTCCCTCTTCACATAGACTTTCCATATAGCTGTGGAGTCTCAATCATGGTGGCTAGGTTCCAAGAGGAAGCAAGCAAAAGCTGCAGTTCCCTTAATGACTGAGTCCAGAAGTTTTAGAACATCATTTCTTTGGTCAAAGCAATATCTCCCTCTCATCCTTTCCTTACAAAGCATGGAAAAGGATGAGACAACTTAGATCCAAACCGTCTGTGATGTGGTTAGTCCCTTCGAACCTCTCCAGCTCCCATCTACTTCCCAACATAGTTCAGTTCTTCAGCTCCCAGGATATGGAATTCATTCAACAAGCCTCCACACCATCACCCATGGGTGCATCATTGGGCACTCAATAACCTGCACAATTGATTATCTCATGCAGGGCTCCCAGTGGCTTTGAAGGAATCCCATTTGCAGTTTTATGAAATTAACTCTCCCAGCTGTATGCCAGGCATATTTTCCTGCTGCACCCCCCATTGCTGCCAGCAGTGGAGCTGGAGCCTCAGTCCCTGGTGTTAGACTTAGCAGTCTCTCCCATCAGAGTCTCTCCTGAGGTTTTCTTGGCTCCCAGACCTGGCAATGCAAAATGTTCTTTGGAAATAAGAGGTTTAATTAATGCTATCAGCTCCATCTCCAGCCTCAGCTGCTCCCCTGGGGAACCCCCAATGTCACCAATCTGAATAGGATCCTGGCTAAGGGTACAGGAAAGAATAAAGAACACTTAACAGCAGAAAATGTCTGATGGAGATCAGACAGCTGCCATGTGGTTCATTGTTACTATGGTTACTAAGATGCTAGCAGCTGTAGTGGCCTTCATTTGTAGCAGGAAGAGGGTCCCCAGCCCTGGAAGCAGAGCTTGCCTGTCACCTCTTTCATGTGCAATGAACCCATGGCAGAGCCAGGAATAGAGCTGAACCCCAGTAGAGTCACCAGGATTCTGAGATGCCTTTGCTATCCAACAAGACATCCTCATACATCTATCTCATCAAAGAGGTGACTTTTGCTTTCTTGTTATTGATATCTGAGCAGTGGTCTTTTACTCAGTAAAAGACCACTTTTACTCAGTAAAAGTATCACTGGGGTCTTTTGAAAAATGAGCTACATCTACTGAGGAAGGCGGTTCAGAGAGTCAGCCAAGGGGAACAGCTGACACAGTCTGAGGATAGAGCCTGCAGATAATTGGGGCTGTTGGGGCTGCCAGGCTGCCAAGGGCAGAGAAGAACAAGATACCAGGGAGCATCTGCAAGGCTGAGGGATGGATCCCTCAGGGATCCCAGCTTCTGCATGAAATGTGATCGTGGACATTTTGATGGGTATTGTGCTTGTTGGGTGTTTAAATTTTCTGAGGGATCACTGAATTTCTAAGGTATTAAAATTCTTTGGAGAAAAGATTTCCAATACAGTTTAGTGTTTCAGCCATTGGATATGTTCTGAAAAGTCATCACTAGGCAATTTCATTGTGGGCCAGCATCATAGAATGTACTTACACAAACCTAGGTGGTACAGGTCAACCAGCCGATGTAAAATGCTAACCACAGACACGTGAGGCTGCTTCCAGCATAACACAAACACTGTTTTGCAGAAAACTTTTTCAACAAGTAAAAGGAATGCACTCTACAGTAATGATACAAAGTCTACTATAGCAAATGCATAAGCCATTAGCCTCACTAATACACAATTGTACTGTACACAATTGTAGCACTACACTTTTACACAACTGGTAGGTTCATTTACATCAGTGTCACCATGAACAAGTAAGGAACACATTGCACTATGATGTCAAGTCAACTCCATTATGATGTGCTGGGACCACCTTCCTAGAGGCTGTCTATCATTGACCAAAACAGCATGCAGCACTGCATACAGCTATCTAGAAGATTCTCTTATTTAGCATACATCTGTGTAGGCAAGTGGTGAGAGGCAGGAGGGAAGAAAACATACAAGCAGAACAATCAATTTTTAACACTGGAAGACTTCAGAGATCACCTTGTGAAATCCTTTCATTTTACCAGTAAGGAAACTGAGTCCCAGAGAGATTGTGGCTTGCAGAAGGAGAAAATGACAGCGTGGGTGGGTGTTTTAGGTCAGTGTAGATTAGGTACTGCTGCAGTAACAAGCAAAACTCAAATCTTCAGAGATTAGCTCAGTAACGGAGTCTCTGTCTCTGCTCTCCATTCGAGGAGGGTCAGATCACTCACTGGACACTGTTCTCTCATCAGTAGCTCGGGAATCTGGGCTTTTTCGATTATATGACTCCTTCATGTCCAGCCATGCAGAGAAGAGAAAGAGCACTGATGACCACTGGGGACATTTGAGGGCACATGGCAGAAACAGAGTATATAGCGTATCCTATTCCATGGGCCTGAATCTGGTAACAGGACAAATATGACAGCAAGGGAGAACATGGAAATGCATGAGAAAAAGCAGTCTGGACCAGGCATTGTGGTACACACCTGCAATCCCAGCTACTCGGAAAATAGGAGGATTATGGCTCCAGGTGAGACCAGGATAAAAAGTTAGCAAGACCCTATCTCAAAAACAAGCCAGGGCTAGGCACTGGTGGCTCACACCTGTAATCCTAAATACTTGGGAATATGAGATTGTGGGAGGATTGAGGTTCCAGGCTAGCCTGGGAAAAACAACAACAAAAACCTTCAAAGACTTCATCTCAATGGAAAAAAGCCAGGGATGCTGGGGCTGCCTGTCATCCTGGTGATGGGGCGGGAAGCCTAATGTAGAAAGATCACAGTCCAGGCTGACCTGGGCACAATATAAGACCCTATCTCCAAGATAAGCAGAGCAAAAAGAAATGGAGGCATGGTTCAAGTCATCAGAGGGCCTGCCTAGCAAGCACAAAGACCTGAATTCAAACCCCAGTACAGCCAAAACCAAACCAAACCAAACCAAACAAACAGACAACAACACAAGCCAGTGTGATGGTGCATGTCTGCAACCTCAGCAACTTGAGAGGCAGAGATAGAAAGATCAAGATCCAAGGCCAGCCCAGGCAAAGTTAGGGCGAGGTCCTATCTGAAAAACAAGCTAGAAGCAAAAGGACTGGAGGCTTGGATCAAGTGGTAGAGCATGTGCCTAGCAAGTGAGAAGCCCTGAGTTCAATCCCTAACACTGAAAAGAAAAAGTCTCTGTAGCAGAAGCTTGGGACTCCTTGTCTAGTGCTTATTTCACTCACTCACTCACTCACTCATTCATTCACTCATTCATTCATTCATTCGTTTATTCAGCAGATGTGGTGAATTTGCCCTGGGGATGAACAAAACCAGGCACGGTGCCTCTCATTATAGAGGGTTTACCCACAGGAAACAAGGGTAATTGTTGTTCATCACACGTGTAAATTACAAGTGTAATGCAAGCTAACAAGAAAAGATTTACAGCAGGGATTTAACATAAGTCATTCAGAGATGTCAACGAAGACTTCCCCTAAGAGATAGCAATTCAGTAGAGGTCTAAAAGAACAAGAGTTATTTCAGCAAAGAAGGAAGAGTGCATGTTCTCTAGGCAGAGCAGTAGCACGTGCATGGATCCTGTGACAAAGTGGCACAGGGGGATCGGGGCAGCAGTGGACTGGTCAACTGGCTCTCCAGAAAAAAAGAATCTAATTTTTAGTATTTGTTGATTTCTCTGGTATAAAATATCCCCACCAAGGTCAATTTTCAGCTATCAACACATTCCTGAGTATTCACCAGTTGGCTCTTGTGAGCCAG